GCTTATTGTTACAAAAACAATTTTATATTAAAATAATTCACAAATATTCAAAGTTAATCATCTTTGGAAGGATACCTTTTTTCTTCAACAAACACTAAAAATGTTATGTTAAAAATACTCAAGACACTAATTATTCGGATATGTTTTATATATAAAACCATAATTCTGAACAAAAATTTAACAAGTATACGTCTTTAGCTTATCTGTATAGTCCACACTCAATGGACTATTGATCAATTCTCTAATAGAAAGTATAGATATTGTGTAATTATACTGATTAATATGGTTGAAAAAGGAAATTATGTAACAATTCAAGTATCAGTTAAACAATAAAATATGGGATAATAAATAATATTAAATAACTTTTTAGGGTTTTCTAAAGATAAAGCAGGGTTTTTCACTAGATAAGGGCATGTACAATGCAAGTTTTTAATGTGTTCTTAAGCCAAGTTCTTAAATATAAAATTATTAAAACACACACTCTCTCTTCTTTTTACTCAATTTTTTACTTTTTCTTTCATCATTTTACTCAATTTTTATTAATTTTATATTTAAACACTCTCTCATCATTTTAAGAACACTCTCCAAAAGTTCTTATTTAAAAACACTCTTCTTCCTTTTACTCAATTTTTATTAATTTTATATTTAAACACATTCACTATCTCTTCTCTTTACTCAAACAAAAACACTCTTTTTTTTTTTTTATTCAAATTTTAATAATTTTATATTTTAAGAACATACTTAAAAAAAAACCATTCCACATGCCCTAAGAAACTTTGAAAGGAATTTAAAAAAAGCAGCTGAAGTATAAGGACTAAAGAATAAATAAGTGCAGAAAAATATCATAAATGCGTGAGCAGTGAGTCTACTGTTTCTTTACACTGTTTCATTTTTCTGAGCTTTTTGGACTGTTCTTCGCCGGAAAAAGGTCCGGTTTACAGTTTTTTAGTTGCAACAAAAAAAAAGTTAGTTCATTGGCTATCGTTTCTTTTTTTTATGTGTTCAGTTAGGGATTTCGATCTGAAATCTTCATATATTGGTGAAACTTCATG